GAAAAAACAGCCGTCACCCCTCTCCCCCCTCAGGGAAGAGAGAAGGCCGGGAGAAGGCACCCTGGGAGGGAGAAGGGCCCCCCCAGCCCCCGACCGAGGGACCTAGGTCCCACGGCCGGAGGCCAGGCGGCCCCCGCCCCCCCGCAGGGGGGAGGGTTTTACCCGGCTATGCCGGGAAAGATCCCCCCCCCCAGTCACCCTCCGCACCATCACCTCCTTCTCTTCTCTTCACTTCCCTCTCTCCGGGCCCGGGAGGAGGGAGATGGGGGATCAAACGCCAATTGCGCTCCACCCCCACTCCCCCCCCCATTAGTTTTATCCCGGGTCGGCGTCACGCTCTGCATCCGGCGCCGGTAATCAAACGCGTCCTGCTGTTCCGATTCCCAAGTCCACCGAGTATTCTTTTTCAATAATCGCGTGAGTGGTTTGCTTAACGTCGCAAATTGTGGCAAAAACCGATGATACCACGATGACATTCCAAAAAAGTGGCGTAACTGCTTTAGATTACGCGGTTCGGGGTATTCTAAAATTGGGCGCGTTTTCTCTAGGTCTACCATCAGACCTTCCCGTCGTACAATGAAACCGAGATATCTCACCTGAGATCGACAAAACTCGCATTTCTCGGGATTAATTGTAAGTCCCGCTCCGGAGATTTTCTTAAATACGCGATCTAGCCACTCGAGATGCTTCTCAAAAGTCGGCGTAACTATCACGATGTCATCGAGATATGCAAACGCGTGCGGCTCCATCTCGGGCCCTATTAATCTATCAAGGAGACGTTGGAATGTAGCCGGAGCGCCGGTTAATCCGTACGATATGCGCGTGAAATGATACAACCTCTTTCCAGGTACGCGGTGATCTCGCGACTTTCTTTGACCAGCGGAACCTGGAAATACGCCTGACTCAAATTGAGGGTAGATATATAGCGAACTGCCCATAATTTATCTAGAATACTGTTCATGTTAGGCAGTGGATATGCACCCTTTTTAGACACGTCATTGACTACGGAAATCCAAACAAAACTGATATTTCCCGTTGGATTTTTTAATCATTACTATCGGATTAGACCATTCGTTAAATGACGGCTCAATAATTCCGATCTCTAACATTTTATCTACCTCTTCCCGAATAGCCTCTTGTACTTTCGGCGAAACTAAATAAAACTCCGAATTTGCAAAGAAAATCCATACCGAGAATACAAGGGACTGTTAAATCAGACAACAGACATGCGGAAACTGTATGTGCGCGGCCTTCTAGTGTGAACGGAATCTCGACCTTTCCCGGTGCTCGCGCTACCTGTCCATTCGCTGTGCAAATATGCGTGACGCGATTATAATCTATCAGTAAATTTAGTAATTTATTAATCTCTTAATAATTCGTATCTCTTCCGCTCCTATTATTGTACGATTAGATCCCGCGTCTACGAGCGCACGCAAAAGTTTTTCTCGAATCAACATCTTAATATCTCAGGGGTAGCGACTCTTGGGAATTCGACGTACTTGTATATACGATCTGCGTCGAGAAGCTTGCAATTTCGGGGGTTCCCTGAGTAGACTCGTCGCGGGCCGCTTCGGGGTTCGACGGAGTCGCGAGGGCTTGCTCTACTGACTCCCGTCCCCGTTTCCCGAACATGTGAGACACATCTTGACCGTCACGTTAGTCTGTCCGCATCGATAGCAATAAATCCGCCATGCCTCTTGGCATTCCCGCGCAATATGCCCTATCTTCTCGCAATTCCAACACTTGAGGCCCTGACGCGCGGGAGCGGACGTCGACGGAATCGCGGAACCGGAAATAGATGTCGCCTTTTGTTTGGGCGCGGGTGTGGCGGCGGGTACGTTCTTGGCGGCCTTGCAAGCGCGTGTACTGACATCAGCTTTATTCTCTGGTATCCCGGGTATTAAACCGGCCGCGACGATGGCCTTCGCGCTCTTTTTCGGCGACCGATACGCTAACTCCGGGAAAATTGACTGTTCGGGAGGCGGGGAAGCGCGATAGCGCGATACGGCTCCGTAGCTATTCTCGATCCGCGTCGCTAAATTTTCTAATGACGTAAAATTGTACACATCTCGACGGTAAACCGCTACCTGTAAACGCGAACACATATTACGGTGCGCGTGATTTAATTGTTCCTCCAAATGCCTTAGCCGTTCAAATAGAGCACGTAAACAAGTCAGGTAATCGGCGACCGTCTCCCCTTCGCCCTGCTTACGACGCATGATTTCATCCCGTAACGCGAATTGGAAATCGGGGTTACCGAAACGCGTATGCCACGCGGCTTTAAATTCCCGCCAAATTCTCCAACGATTTCTCTCGTTTCGATACCAATAAAGCGCGATACCGGAAAAGAAAAACGGAGTGCATTTGAAGAGATTTCCTCGTCATCCACCGGAACTAATGCACGGTCTTTCTCTATACGTGCCAAGAACGCCTCCGCGTCGCTGCCACGCGCGCCCGAAAATTTTAAATTCCAGCGGCGCATCATCTGATATGCGTCGCTGACCGACAAATTATTATAAAAAAAATATATGTTTCTCCAAATATAAATTAATATTTTCAAATATAAATGTTTCCGAATTTAAAGTTCAACAAAAACAAAAAAATATATTGGCACTGAAAATTATAAGCCTCGAAAAAAAATACAAAAAAATTATTCCCTAAATATAACTTCTCCCGCAAGCGTTAACTTGAAAGAAAGAAAAATTCAAACATATATAACTTTCGGAAAGCATCGATATTTGTGAACATAAATTTTCAATGAAAATATGATTTCTAAAGTATAATTATCAAAAAATAGATTTCAAGTATATAAATCGCAAAAAAAAATAATCACAAATATAAATCAATACAAAATATAAATTTCAAGAAATATATAAAATTCAAATATCCTCAGAATCAAATAATATAAATATCACAAAAAATATATCTCATATAAATATCAGAAACTAGCCAATCTCGAGACCGAACTTCCCGTTATAATAAAATTTTTCTTTGTGAGCCCCATGCGCAAATTTGTAACCGTACTTTTTTTGGAAAATCGAAAAAATAATTCACCAAAAATGGAGGGCCGAATCTGCAAGCGGATAGTTCGCCGCGGACAGAGAATATTAGGTAGCACAAAAGTACAGAGAAAATCGAAATCGTATAATATAAGAGTAAAGACAATTGTACTGCGAAACTACGGCTACACGCGGCGCGGTGTTATGATTCCGCGACTTTGTTACGACCCAACGCGGAGATATCAGGTTACACACGGTACCCGGGAGTAAACTTGTCCCTACGCGCGAGAAAGAATTTGCCACACGCATCCAAAGAGAACATACTATATATATCTCATTCGCAATTATATAGTCTTCTCTACATGAAGATTTATAGACTCTACAAACTATAGACAGCACAATTAATATTGACGAGATACTTTATTCCAATACAAAAGTACAATACAATCGCAAAGACTGTTGGCGTATTCGCGGGAGAGAGAGAGAGAGAGAGAGAGAGAGAGAGAGAGAGAGCCTCTCTTAAGGTACTCACGAGAGAGAGCACGCGATCGGTCGGACGCCGGGACAAAGATTATACGCGCAATACTCTCACTCCTACCCGTGCTTCCTCACTTACACGCGTCTTTCCCGACGCGAAATTAGCGACTTTACAAAGGTTCGTTCATCTTACCGGTACGTGCAGATTCTTTTTCGGGGAGTCATCCGCTCTCGGGCCTCCGTCCTCTCATACGCTCTGCCGAACAGTGATAAGCAAAAGGCCCGCCGGAATCACGCCGATAATAAATTTGACATTTTCCACACGTGGCGCTCCTTATCCTGGCAGGGCCGCCGGGCGTTCTGCGGGGCCCGCGAATTTGGTCAATGATAACTTTTCTCGCCGCTCTTTCATGCTTCCCGTTTTTCCTTCCGGTGTTTCCTTTTGTAATTTTTGTCGGGGTGCCTGCTGGCGTTCCGTCTTTGTTGATCTTCCAAAATTCGCTAGATCGAGTGATTGATCGACCGCGAATTTTACAGCAGGATAGGTTGGTCCAGAGGCAGGATATCTCCCGCGACTCTCCTGCTTGGGGCTCTCTCGCGCCTTGCGAGAGAGTAGCCATCTCCTTATGTCCCCGGAATATCTGCAGAAGAGGGAGTATTTAATGGCGGTATTGAGGTTCTTATGGTGAGGAGCAAATGAGAAAAATCGGTTTCGGCTCGTGCGTCCACTCCGCACTCGTGTTCAATTGTCAACTTCCCGCACTTGTTACACAAATAACTATTACCGGCCGTGACCCGAAAATGGTGGCCTCTGCTCGATCCGTAGTCTTCTTCTTCCTTCCTCTATATCCTCTCCGGTCGAGACACGTAACCCTAAGTAAAAGTCGCTCGCAAAAAAAAACGCAAAAGTTGCTAAACAAAAAAATAAATAAAAGATAATACGCGGAAGGGGTGCAAAGGCTACATCCCTTACGCACGCAAGAAACCGCGGAAATTATTCTCGGGCGAAATTGTGAGGCTAATTTTGCTTGTATTTCTGTCTTTAAAATATTTCACTCATCTTTTGACACTATGCTAGCACCCATGCATGCCTATATGCTAAAGCAAAAATGTCGAGAGTGGAAAACTTAATTATTACAGCACATTTATATAAAAGAATTAGTGGAGTAATTCCATTTAAAACATCTAAGTTGACTTTTTATATGACCTTAGAAAATGATTTTGTTTGTTAAAATTCAAGATTAACAAAAATTGTTTACCAAATAATATTAATAAAACGCTCTTATCGTAAAATAACAAGGATAGAAAGAATATATTGCTGTGAAGAGCCTAATGCTTAGTAATTTGCTAAGATGAGGAACAATCTTTAAATTGAGATTTGAATTCCTCTTCCCTTTACAGACACCTTAACAAGCCGATATACCTCTCTCGTCTCTATGTATACTAATGAAATACGCATATTTACAGCCAGCGTGTTTCATTAGTATACATAAAGACGAGAGAGGTATATCGGTTCGTTAAGGTGTCTGAATAGCTCAGTTGGAAAGAGCAGTCGCCCGGTAAGCGAAAGGTCTCGAGTTCGATTCCCGATTCAGCCGAATTTTTCGAACTCATAATTTTCTCGTTTACATCAATTTAGAGGGGGGGGGTAAAGGGAAGAGGAATTCAAATCTCAATTTAGATATTGTTCCTCGTCTTAGCGAATTGCTAAGTATTAGGCTTTTCACAGCAATATATTTTTTTTATCCTTGTTAAAAATTTTTTAGTTTCGAAGAAGATATAAAATAACCTTAAATAGAAGATCATCATTATATACATATGTGCGTGTGCATGCGGTCGTTCGTGCATGCGTATGTGTGTGTCAAGGTTTACTTTGATATTTTTGAATTGGAATCTATTTTTATTGTTATCATATTTTTTACTATATACTCTAATTCTACATAACTATAATGTCGAGATATTTTTTAAATAGATTATGCACTTTTTATTTTATTTATTTCAAGAGCTGTACAAATACATTCTATATATGTATATGAATAGTGGCTAACTAAAAAGTTGTCCGCTCTTGCTAGGCTAAGTTTCGAAATACCGATCTTATTTAAATATACTAGATAACACATAAGTGCGCGCTAAACAAATTTTTACTCCGCGAGTATACATAATTTTAATTCGCCGAATTTTAATTATATACTGTAACGTGACATTTTGTATGTCTGTCACAAGGGTCGAATAACCCGGTCGGGAGTGCCATTAGTGGTCCTTCGTTCTCTCCAATTAGCGAGAGAGAGAGAGGGAGAGAGAGTGAAAAATTTAGATCAAGACCGTGCGAGTATGGCGGCTGCAAGGTGGGAAAGGATTGGGTCGCGTCCGGAAAAGAACCGAGCGAAGGACGGTACGGCGGGACGTACCGCAAGGAGGAACACGCCAGGTGACATAAAATTATCAATAGTTATTAGTAACATTTACTGTGGGAGCGAGCACCGACTGCCCGAAATTAAAATTACTCGCCCTGACAGGCAGGCACGTGCGAGGAGCCAAGCAAAGGCGGAGGGGAACCACTCCACTCACCACGAGCCGGAGACCCCGACGAGGAGCGTGTGCCCTCACCGCCATGGGGCCCGGAGAAACACAGTACCGAGCCGGGAAGGGTACTCGCAGCCTCAGGACATCGCACAACTATAGCCGAAGGCAACATTCTACCGGCGAGAACAAAAATTAATAGAGCGAGGGGCGACAATTAGCCGCGCAACGGCCCTGCAGTTCGTAAGGGCCGCGAGGACGGCGAGCCACTCCTGTGAGCAGGAGCGCCGCAGGTGGTTGGATAAGACGTTATCGCGCCGACGTGTCTCCCGCGGGCTTCCCGATCGTCACTGTTCGGCGGACTGGTGAGAGCGAAGGACCTTGACTTATCGAGCTACCATCGATCCGGCGCAGTAAATCCGGCGTGAAGGACGACTTCCCTGTTGTAAGGCCGCTAACTCGGTAATCGAGTAGGAATTCGGACGGAAGAGCATATGTGGTAAACTTTTGCGTAGCTGTCGCCGAAGGTGCAGCAGTAGCTTTCTTTTTGGGGAAAATTACGTGGGTCGTGTGAGAGTCGCCATTGTGCACTCCCCGCGAGATATCGCGTTTAGTGTTTGGCTTTTGAATTCCGTCCAGATCTTCTCCACAAGCTCTCTCTCTCTTATACATTGCCGCCGACAGTCTTTATTGTGTCCGTAACTATTAAGTTGTCGCGTTCGTTCTATATTGTAGTTTTCGTTGTATGCGTCGAGAGTCAAACTCGTATTCGTTATTGCGCGATTCCGACCATTTTACTGTTATCTAGAGTCTTCGCGGTTACTTGTGAGTCAGTTTTTATTGTCCAATATTTGTAGTGAGTCGATTTACGACATTACGCATTAGAGGGGATTTTGATAGAATTAATTAGAGCAATCGAAGTGAGAATAAGGAATCACGGATAATATACCGCGTGGAATTCAGAGAAAAACTTGTTTACGCGCCCGGACGACTGGCGCGGCGTTCACGTGATCGACCAACTCTTTGGCGCGGCTATCCGGCGGGCGAACGCAAAATTCGCAAGATAATTATCGTTCATATTTTAGTTGTCGCCTTAGAACGTGCTAAGCGCTCCATATATCTGTATAAGATTCTCGTGAGACGGCACGCTCACGCGTTACGTGCGCGTATCTTCGATTTAGCGCAATCACACAGCGAATTTATCATTTATTTCACTTGTCTAATTACTCTCTTTATTTTATATTTTATACAGCTCAAATTCTTGTATACCATATGCTTTATATTTTATAATATATCGTTCCAGTTCATCTCATATTTTAGCGTTGTGTTTGCACCCGTCTCTCTCCGTATTCGATCCCGGTTCTCGCCCGCGAACCACCCCCCTCTACCAATCGTAGATTGTCTAATCAAATTGAGTCCCGTCGCGATTTCCATCCTCTCTATAAGATATTTGTGTTCGGAAAAAAGGATAATTGTCTTATAAAACGACAATTTCAGTCAATATGGACAAACTGCAATTTGAATTTGCAGTAGTCGCATCACCCAAGGATGACAAAACAAATATAATTGCCATAACCTCAATCAATACAGAGAAAGGAAAAAGGTACGTTCTACCGGCAGAGTTTAGATATATAGGTTATTATAAGGATTTAATGAAAACAGAAAATTACAATAAACTAAAAAACACCCTAAAAACAAGACATCAAAAAAGAAAAGTGTGGATAAAGATGACAGTAGAGTTAAAAAAGATCTATATAGATGAAGACCAGAATCTGCAGTTTGAGAACCAATATTTAGAAGAAATAGACGAGGAAAAATCAGAAGATAAAACTCAAAATGATAATTTAACAAAAATATTGGAAAAGCTTGTAGAGTCATCAAAAAGGAAGGAAGAAGTAAAGAATTTAAAACAAATTTCAGAAAAGTTTATGATTGAAAAATTCACTAGCGAGCACTCAAATGCGAAACAATGGCTAGAAACATTTGAGAAAGAGTGTACAAGATTTGACATTACAGAAGATGAAACAAAAATCGAAATACTAAGATTGTTTTTAGATAAAGCTTGTTCAGATTGACACACGGCAACAGTAACAAAATTAACGGTTCAGGCAGGATGGGATGAATGGAAAGGTAGATTTTTAGAAACTTTCGAGGATAAAGGATGGAGCACGGTGAAATATGCTTTATCATTTAGATATAAAGAAGGATCACTTACGGATTATGCAATAAAGAAAGAAAAACTATTGTTGGACATGAATAAAGATATAGATGCAAAAACGTTGACAACCCTAATAGCAATTGGATTGCCAGAATTTATTATAAACAAAATAGATAGGGAACAATGTCAAGATTCAACCTCCTTATTTAATGAAGTTAGGAAACATGAAAATCTAATATATAAAAAATCTTATCTACACAAAAATGAGTTAGGATATAAAAAGAAAAGTGAAGAAAAAAAACCATGCAAAACATGCGAAAGTTTAAATAAAGGCAATAGATTCCACCCTGCAGAAAAATGCTGGTTCAAAACAAAAGAAGAAGAAAGACACACCAACACAACAAATTTAGTAGGGAACAGCTCAGTCATTGATGTAAAGCTGAACACCGAGAAAAAAAACGAATAAACACACCATTAATCAAGGTCAAGCTATTATTAGAAGATAAGCTAGAAATTCAAGGAACATATGATCCAGGATCTCAGGTATCACTTATAAATTCAAGACTGATTAAAATAAAAGGGGAGAAAAATGATGCAAATAAAATATACTTGAGATCGGTTAATGGTGTGGGAACAACAAAAGGATTAATTACAATTAATATAAAAATATTTGATATTGAAAAAGAAATGGACGTGTACATAGTTGAAGAAGAAAACTTTCAGGATTTCATCATTGGGCTAGATATGATAAAAAACTTTAAATTAATACAAAATGAAGAATTACAAATTTCACAGAAGAAAGAAACAGATTTAGGAATGAAAGCAGATAAAATAGATAATTACAATAAACAATACTCCGTAAATTTTAATGAACACATCAAAGAGAATGAATTTAAAGTTATTCTAGACCATTTAGATAATACAAAGAAGACTAACATAAAAAAACTAATAGAAGAATATAACTCCATATTTGCAAAAGACAAATATGACATTGATAAGATTATGAAGCTAGGATAGATCTAATCGTTGATAAATACTGTAGTAAAAGACCGTACAAATGTACAATAGAAGATAAAAAAGAAATTGAAGAGCAAGTAGGGAAGTTCCTAGAGAAAGGATAAAGAACCACGGATAATATACCGCGTGGAATTCAGAGAAAAACTTATTTACGCGCCCGGACGACTGGCGCGGCGTTCACGTGATCGACCAACTCTTTGGCGCGGCTATCCGGCGGACGAACGCAAAATTCGCGAGATAATTATCGTTCATATTTTAGTTGTCGCCTTAGAACGTGCTAAGCGCTCCATATATCTGTATAAGATTCTCGCGAGACGGCACGCTCTCTTTATTTTATATTTTATACAGCTCAAATTCTTGTATACCATATGCTTTATATTTTATAATATATCGTTCCAGTTCATCTCATATTTTAGCGTTGTGTTTGCACCCGTCTCTCTCCGTATTCGATCCCGGTTCTCGCCCGCGATCTACCCCCTCTACCAATCGTAGATTGTCTTATCGAATTGAGTCCCGTCCCGATTTCCATACTCTCTATAAGATATTTGTGTTCGGAAAAGTAATTATCTTTTGTGCGGTACGGCTTGCCGTACCTGGCGTCCATAAGCTTTGTGATTGAAGGGGAGATACAGTCATAATCGCGCCGAAGGTGTACCGACGACCCCTAACATCGGTCTTACGGATTTTAAAGTCCCTTACGTAACAGCAAGAGAAAATCTTTCGGTCACAGTACATAACTCTAATTCTCGAATTTCTATTATACATGTACATAATTTTAATTTGCTAGATTTCTATTATAAACATAATTTTAATTTGCCGTATTTCTTTTATATTATAATATTATTCATACAGCATAGAAGATAGCTGTTACGTTGCAACAATGTTACAATCTTTCAAGTTGCA